AAAATTTAATGTGTTTAAAAATCTTCCCTCAAAGAAAACTCAAGGCAAAGGTGGCTTCACGGGAGAATTCCAAAGCATGTAAGGAAGAAATAACACCCATTCTTTAAAAACTCTTCTAGAAAACTGAAGAGGAAAAAGCACTTATAATGACAGCATACCCTGTCACCAAAACCAGACAAAGACATTACAAGATAACAAACTGGAACCCTATGAGGTGGATGCTATTAATTATTCCATTTTAGAGATGAAGAAATTGAGAACTAAGGAGATTCAGAAACTCGCCTGAGATGACAGAACTAAACATAGGCAGGCATCCTGACTTCAGAATACAGGCTCCTAACGGTAACAAATTCCTCTTCTAAAATTCAATTCTAGATACCTTGCAAAAGAAAACAGTAGAATAATTCCCAATACTTACCTAGAGACTATGCTGGAACCATTATAGAGATCGCTAGCATATGACAATGTAGCCAAAGGTCGTACTGAATTATACCGAGTAAACTTGGACAAGCATTCCTGAAATTCATCCAACTGACTTGCAGTTCGACTGTCATCTACAAGAAGAAAACAAACAAATGAATAAAATTGTAAATCAGAGAGCAACATCCACCGATTAAAAATTTTATTCTAAGTACAAATCAAAATTCTTAGAAAGTATTTAGAGACTAGTATGCACAAGATAATTAACTGATCTTAAGCTTTAATAAAATTTTCTTACTGATTCTTTGAAAGATACCGCCTCTTTCAACACCAATAAGAAAATACTATTCATTCTTTTTTTGAGCAATAGTTTCTTAGAAAAACAAAAAAAGTATGTCTCATCAAAAGAAGTGAAATCATTCACTAAAATAAAAATCTTTTATCAATGGAGAAAGTGAAGGTGGAGAGAGGAGAATATAAACTGGACAGCATATTTGTTAGTTTGAAGGAGTATGTTCGCAGGCATATGTCTTCATGTCTTTTTTTATGTACTGTCAAAATACAATGTATAAGAACATAATTTATAGAAAAACTAACTGGTTTTTAAGTAAAAAGTGAAATATTTGTTCACATAATACTTTGAAGTGCTTTAAACCCAATTATGGGAAGAAATATAAAAAACTGCAATGTTTAAATTATTCTCAGAAACAATTTAAAGTAGTTGCATTCAAACGTCTTGGTGGAATATATAAAACAACAATTCCATCCACTAGGACACTATACAAATACTCAGAGTTAAGTACAGTTCAGTAAACTATTAATAACTAAATAATGTGTCACTTAAATCACAAAACCAGCTTATGAAAGACCTAAGAATACAATTACAAGAATATAAGTAATCTATTTTCCAATCTAGAAATAGGCCTACAGTGGCATGTATAATGTGTGGGGGTAGTGAGGGATGTGCAACACAGAGAAGACAAGTAGTGATTCTACAGCATCTTACTATGCTGATGGACAGTGCCTGTAATGGGGTTTGTAGGGGGGACTTGGTGAAGGGGGAAGTCTAGTAAACATAATATTCTTCATGTAATTGTAGATTAACGATAACAAAATGAATAAATGAATAAATGAATGAATAAATAAATAAAAGAAATAGGCCTACAGTGAAAGTATCAATAAAAAAACATTGTTTTTCAAAACTGCTTAAATTTTGGACTTGTATTTTCCTTCACAAAGAAAGAAATAAAACACACAATTACTTTGGGCAAATTCCTAAGATTTGAAATAAGCCTATTACAGTACTGTGTTTTCATACCTTCTTTCTTATTCTTAGTTAATACACATACATGCTCATAACTTGAACTTTAATGTAAACGTTCATAATTTCCCTTCTTAAATATCCTCTGAGATTAATAGTTGGCATAATGAAATTAAAATGTAAGAATCATTAAGTCAAAAAGAGTTACTACACTATTAATACCAACTCATTAACATGTACTTTCAACAAAAGTTATACATAGAAAACATAAAATTGTTATTTCCTTATCTCAAAGTACAGGAATTAGATTTCACTGAACTGGTTAAAAAAAGGTAGGATTTTGTTTGCTTGGTTGTTTCAAGATCAATATCTATACATATCTGCCAAATATACCACCTTTCCTAATTACAGATTTGTTTGTAAAAGTATGTATAATGCTGCATAATTTACCTTCTCTTTCAGTTACAATTAAGAGTACAAGACATTACTTTTCATCTCTCATCTTCATAGTTGAAAATATATGTTAGGGATGGAGGGAGTAGACTCTCATTTGAAAATATTCAAAAGGACAATCAAACTCTTAGGTACTTCATTACACGTAAGTTAAAATTTCCTAGTCACAGTCAAGGACACTAGGAGAAACTTTATATTTAGCATTACTGATAGTGGAGTCAATGTACAAATTGGTAAGATGACTTATCAAATACAAGTTAATATAAGTTAGTGTTTAAATCTTTAAAATGTAAAATATGAGGGAGAGAAGCCTAGTTTCTTTAAGTAGTTGTTTTTCTTTTTAATAACTATTAGATAAACTTCATGTGAACAATTATCTTCAAGATAACCTAGTATCTCCAGATAAATAAATCCTTAGTATACCATGTAGCATATAGTGTAGTAATTCTTTTGACTTAATGATTCTTATATTTTAATTGATAACTTGAAATTCCTAAAAACTGAGGACATGTTTTAAGTACAACACAGCCATGCCCACAAAAATAAAAATTTAACCTTTCTCCTGGCTTTAATGTATTATTTTACCTTCTTGTAAAGCTACATCCCCAAAATAAATTAGTTTGTGACTACTTTTACTATCTCTCAGTATGCCTATGCTGCTAGCTTCTTAAAAATTATCAATAACAATAGTCTATCCCAATCCCCCATTTTTATTATCTGCCTGTGGTTTTATTTCAACATTATACTGACAATAACATATGAAAGCGCTAACATGAACTTTCTGCTAGTCAGAATGTAGGCCTCCAACCACTTTTAATTTACCAGCTTCCTACTGTAGTTTACACACTATTACTGAGGCTCAATTACCAGGCAATAAAAAGAAAGCTTTCCATCTATAAAAAAACTGTTAATTGTTAATTTCAAACACACTTATGAGCAAAGCCTGGATGCTTACCAGTCCTCATAGGAAAAATACTATGTAAATTTTACATATTATATTTTCATCCATCACCAATTTCTAGATCAATCTGTCCAAAGGTTCTGATTATAATACAAATATACCTATTCCAAGAGAAAACCAAGACCAAATTTTTAACAACTAATAAAGTATCACACATTTTTCTTGGTGATCATTTTGAGCAGGTATACTACTAATGATATCAAATTAACTGAGCACCCAACTTATACCAAGCACTGAATTTTATATGCATCACCTATAAATCTTAAAAAAAAAAAAAACCCACAAAAAAACCCCGTAGGTTTGGTATTAATGTCCCACCGCATTCGTGAGCAAAAAAGCTGAGAAAGGCTAAAGATCAGAGCTAACAAAAAGAGGCAAACTATATTACTTCCCTACAGCAATAAAAATAACCTATAGTATCAGGTCCATGTCTCTGCCTAAGTTATTCCTCACTTTGAACGTGTTTCTAATTCCTTTTTTTAGTTAATTTATGCTAAACTTGACTAAATATAACTCTTTGATATTCCTACAGTGATCATTCCTACATTTCCCCATTTTCAACTTAGCCTGGCCTTTCTACTCCCAGCTATTAAGTGGATATTCTTCTCTATTCCCACAGCACCCTTTGCATATTTACGTAGAATATAGTATTACATAGAATTATTTACCAGGTGCTTTCCCCACTAGATTTACAATATTCCTTGACAATAAGAATTGGTTCTTTCATCTTTTTATTCTTAGCACAGAGGACAGTGCTTAGAACTCAATGTTGATAGGAGACAACTAAATGGAACTTATTTTTGCAAGCTACATATTTGCGACTAATTTTTTTTAACTTTATTTATACAGCTCACTATATAAAAATCAAAAATTCACTAACAGAGAAAGAGAACAAATATAGCTATGGGAAACTAAAGTTCTCTAAGACCTGTAGGAATGTCCAGAAGGCTTGGGTGGATTATGTAAAAAAATATGTATTTAGCTTTATAAATAGGACTTTCCCTAAATCCAACATAAGAAGCTAGATGGATTTGAAATATGAATTGTAGATATTTTAAAAAGAAGTCCCAAATACATACCTGAGATACGAGACATCCTTGTTGAAAAGTAACATTGCTCTAAGTCTTCAAAATGAGCAGTGAGTCGTTTTCGTCTTGATGCTAATGTGCTGTTATACCAAGGCTGTTTCTTTGTCTATGGTGTAACAAGAAAAGACACTTGTGAATCAATAAACCATATTCTTCTTCTACACAGAATACTCAAATGCTTACATATTAAATCTCAAAAGTTCATCACATTAAGCTAATCACAAATGGTTAAAACCCTGCATTTTTTAGACCATATTTTCCAATTTTACAATAAGAAGCTTCTTTCAAACTCTCCAAATTAAATGAGGAATCCACATAACTACCATTCTAAATTTCAGAATTTTGAGATTTTTAATATGCAGAAATTTTAGAAAACAGTTATCAAAAGAAAACTGTTTCATCATGCCTATATTGCAGCCCTATACCCTTTGAATAAATAGGAAGAGTGCTTAATTGTGCATAATATATATATATATATTAATACTGATTATTAGATTAACAGGTGGTAATATGTATACACCAAATAGTTTGACATATACATTAGAAGATCAGGATAACTAAATCAGATGTATACCAACAAAGAAAACAAACCTGAACTGTACTAGCATATAAATACTATAAAAAACAGAAGTCAATGATACTAAATATATAATCTATACCATATTAACTGAAAGGGTAAGACAATTCTTCCACAGATGGGTATTATCTATTATGCTTGAGGCACATAAAGAGATAAAGAGCTAAGACACATAATGCAATATTGAGATGACACAAGTTCACCAATAACTATACTACAACTGCAAATGTATTTATTAAGTAAGAAATATGAAGGTACTACTGTAAGTGAAACACTCTAAAGCAAACCGTTCTAAAACTAGATGGTGGGTATTAATATTTTAAAGCAGTACTTGGATCGCAAGAAACTTAGACAATTACCAAAGATAAAACAGATAACCAAACAGGAAGCTGAATTCAGAGAGATGATGATAAATCAAATACAATAGTGCAGAAGAGGAAGAGGACAATACTTATTTGGGAACAAATACCTGCAAAAGAACACATACAAGATTTGGAGACTAAAAAGAGAATTTGCAAACTGAAGATAAGTCTGAAGGAATTACCCACAATGAAGGATAAAAGTCAAGACAATAGAATACTTAGAAGATAAGAGACATCAAAGTCAAAATAATAAAAGCTTAAAATATGGGCATTCAGAGACCCAGAGTAACAGACTGAAGAAGAAATATCTGAAGAGTTGTTGTTGACAATTTTCCAGAATTGAAAACAAACATAAATACACAAAAAAATTATTTATATCAAGTAGAATGATTTTTTTTAAAAATTCACAACTAGACAAAATAAGGTGAAACTGTGTTTATGTCCAAAACCAAAATGATTTTAAAATTAGGCAGATAATGTACCTAACAGAAACAACAAGTAGACAGATAAAATACTTCTCAACAACAATAGAAAAAGCTAGACCATAGTGAACCTTGATTAACTTCAAAAAAGTTAAAAGAAAATAACCCAAAGTTCAGGTCCAACCAAACTATCTTGAGCAAAATATTTTTTAATGTGAATGAAAACAAAGATTAGTACCAAGAACCAATTTCTAAAAAAATTTCTGTAATTATGTGCTTGAAAAGTTCAGTAACATAAACTAGAAGGTCTGAAACACAAAAATGAAAAAGAAGCAGGGAAACTAGTAACCAATTAAGTGATTTAAAAATATTGTTTGTATACATTAGTGATAATATCTAGTTTATAGGGTTAAGGATAAGACAGAATAAAACAGACCAAATAACAGCATATAAGGCCAAGGAGAATCAAGAGGGCTTTCTGAAGTCCTTATGTTGTTCAGGAAGATAATTAAGATACTAATTAAGTTTAAACTCTGTTGAGGTGTTATTTGTGAATGAATTTCAAGGATAACAACTGAAAAGATAGTAAAAGAATAAGTAACACCTTAAACAGTAGAGGGATGGGAGAAAGGAGTAAAAATATAAGAAAAAAATTCAAAATTCGGCTGTAAGACTAACAGCAGTCATTAAAGAGTGAAACTATGCTAGTAATCATACTAAATGTAAATGTAATCACTCACAAATGGGTGATAGAATGGATTTTTCAAAATGCAACTGCGTATCTACCCAAGAAACATCAATAACATAAAGAAACAGAAAATTTGAAATAACATAAAAAATAACATATTAGGCAAATATAATCAAAGGAGAAAAAAGACTCAAGATTAAAAGGATTAATGGGGATGGAAACAGCCACTTCATAACACACAGGTTTCAATTCAGTAATTGTATACCTAGTATACATAACAGCACAGTCTCAAAAATACATAAAGCAAATTGGTAGAGAAACTGACAAATCCACCAACATAGTAAGAAATTAACGTCATCAACTCAACTGAAAGATTATGCCAGGAACACTACTAGAGATATAGTAAAATTTAAAAGATTGCTTTAATAAATTAAAATTTTTAAGTTTAATAAATAATAATTAAGTATAGAACACTGTACTCAATTAGAAAAATAACATTCTTAAGCATACATGCAACATTTACAAAAACTGACCATGTACGAGATCACTGGCTATAAACATGACCTCAACAGGGCAGTTTCTTAAATGAAACACACACAAAATAACCCCACTAATTATAAAAGCTATAAATGCCATGACACAGAAATTAGTAACTTATGCTTATCAAAATCCATCAATAAAAAGATGACACAGTAATACACAAACTGTAAGACAATATTTGCAACACACAAGAAACAAATTAATATCGTGAATACATTTATTTTATTCCTATAAGTAATTAAGAAAAAGACTGATACAAAAAAAAATGGGAAAAGACAAAAGATGCCACTGTTCAAAAGATAAAACATGAATGCCAATAAATCAAATACTGGCTATACATTGTCAGAAAAACGCAAATTTAAACCACACCAAAATTCTATTTATTATCCATTAAAGTGGCAACCATTTAGAAACTCAACAGTACTAACTGTTGACAAGGATGTAAAGAAACTAGAACTCATACACTAGTGGGAATTTTAAATTAATAAAAAGATTTTGAGAAACTATTCCATATTATCTCAAAATACAAAAAACACTGATGTGTGAGAAAATAACCCTCATTTCCACTCCTATGTGCAACATCTAGGAAACCTCTTGCACCTGTACATCAGGAGACATATACAAGGATGTCCTTAGTAACAAAAACAAAAATCCTAGAACCACATCAAGTGTACAAAGATTGGACAATTGATAAATTGTGGTATATTAACAAAATGGAATAATATACATTAGTTATGATGAACCAGGGATACCCAGACATCAGGAATGAATCTCTGATAAAACAAGTCAGAAAACTACATAATAGGATATCATTTTTATAAAATCCAAATACAGCCAAACTGCATAATACAGGAGTACATATATGTATTGTAAAACTATTTTGAAAGATCAACACATTGACAAACACAAATATCAGAAGAGTGATACCTCTGGGCATGAGGCAGGGTGACAGAATTTGTTAGGACCACATGGGTAACTCAAATGGTGTCATTAATGTTCTAGTAGTTAACATAAGAGCTGAGTTCATAAGAGCTTTTTATTATAATCATGCTTCTAATTTCATTTTTATAAAATACATTCCTTTTTATGTCCCAATATATTTGTATACATTCTAAGGGGAAGAGTACAGAGTTTTTAAAAAGTGATCTGCTCAATAAAAAGAAGACTTCACCATCTAAAACATAATGATTTTAATGATAAGAATCATGAATATGACATATAAAACAAGGAGCAGTCAAAACACCATTTGGCTCAGCTTCCAGTTTTTATAGCAAATTCATCTTCACAATTATACTAATATTTATTCTTAGCTTTTCATGAATATATTTATTCAGTGTTATTCCTTTTTAATCTGCCCAAAACTGGGCTGCTTTGTAACTGTTGGCAAATACATGAGTTATTATCATACACATTTAATTAAATTCTCAAATAACCTTAATATAAATTAATAGAAATATGCTAATTGTGAGGGGATAAATGATTTTAGAATATAAATTGGTTGCAGATAATCCACAAGGCCAATAATCAGATTGCACATACTCCGGATAAACTCTCTACCTACATGTAGAACATAAACATGGCTAGAAATCAAAAGGAAATGCTCATTACTTGTGTTTATTTAGATTAGTTCTAAAGAAAGGTAGTCATACTTACCAAACTCAAAGATAATTAAATTTCACCACAGCAAAAAAAGAAGCATATAAATACCTTATTTGGTCATTAAGTGAAAAATTTCTCATATAGTGGAAAAATACTATCAAGATAATAGAGTAAATTAAGCTTGATTATACAAAAAGATCACTTACTGTCAACCTGTAAATTATGCAAAATCTTTAAAAATTAACAAAAAAATTGGTTTCAGTGAAAGGAATTAAATTGAAAATAGAAAAGCAGCACTCAAAACTGATTATTTCATTTCACATTCTTAATATAAACTAATGATCAAGAATACAAAAGCAATAGATCTTCAAAAGATGAATGAAATAAATAATGGAATAAAAAACTGTTACGATAGCAAAATTCTCTACCAATTCCACTGAAAGCCCTACTCTAAATGAAGCTAGAAGTGTTCTGTATGCTTAACTGAAATTTTCAAGTTTTTCAATAGAAAAATACCCCTCCATCCCAAACTAATTTCATAAATGAAACAATGCAGAATGAAAACTTACTATTTATATAGTAATCTTTATAAGATCAAGGAGCAAGTACAAGATAATGAAACAAATTAACTGTTAAACACACACACTCATATTTTCATATAAATAAATATAAAGAATGGCTTTAAAGAATAAACATAATTTAGAACAGTGGTTCTCAAAGTGTGGTCCCCAAAGTATGGTGCTCAGGTCCAAGGGTTTCTGAAATCCTGTCAAAATATCTGTAAGGTCAAATCTATGTTACTAAATAAAGTAAGATGTTATATGCTGCTTTCATGTGTTTATGTATGTTCTTGCAAGAGAAAAACAATGGTCAGTATAAATGTATTCGCCTCTTAGCACAGATCAAGGCAACGGCACC